TATATATATATATATATATATATATATATATATATGAAACTTACACGATCGTATAAAAAAAAGAAGGGAAAAACAGATCAGGTGTCTAGGTTGTAGCAATGAGGAGGAGAACCAGAGAGCCTGGGCTTATTTTCTTTGTTTTCGTTTTTTATCTTTTTCTTAACATTCACTGAGAGATTTTTTATTATTTGCTTTAATACGGAGAGATATAGAAAAAACATATATTGTTCGAGAAACAAACGGTTGATATAACTTATGAATATTTTGATGCTTCGATAATAATTAATAATAATAATAATAGTAATAATAATCATTCGTGTGTGTGTCTCTGTCTGTCTGTGTTCTTTTTCTCTTTATTGTGTGTATGTGTACTGTCTATGTATAATTATTATATTATATATATATACATATATATATAAGAGAAGTGTGCAGCGAGCGATGCATGAGGGCCGATGGCCTGCGCTCGCGCACATCCAAACATTTTTCTTTTTCTTTTCATCCTTTTCTCCTAAATATATATATATATATATATATATTTATATACTATCATTAATTAATCATATTTCTTTTATTCATCCCCACTTGTGTTCTTCCGTCTTCTCTCTTCCTTACTTTTTCTTCTTGTTTATTCATTAATGCAAAACTCCTACTATAATGATAACCGACGTCACGGGGTCTCGTTAACACTAAAAAACTCTTTGTGCGCCTCTTTGTTTGCGCGTGCACACGAACCACCCCGGGACCAACGTATGTACAACATTATTAGTTTCTTTTTTTGTTATTTTTCCTCCCTGCTTATATTTTCCCGCTATTTCTGTTTTATTCTCTTCAACTTCCTTCTCCACGCTCTTCATCTTCCACACTTTCTTTCCTGCCCCTGTCTCTCATTGTCACCTCCTTCATTTATTTTTTTCTTCCTCTTCCTCTTGGTGTTCTACGTCTCCTTCTTGTGTGTTCCCCGTTTCTTGTCCCTTTTTTCTTCTATTTATTGTGATTCCGTCAGCCCACTCCTTGTCAACTAGCTTTAGTTTTATTCAGTGATCGCCTGAACCCCTGTATCATCCGCTGGTTGTGTCCGGATTTGTTGCTGGTTGTTGCTGGTTGATTTTTTGTCCCTTTAGTTTTTCTGTGAATTTGTTTCATGCAGGAGAGTATGGGCTTCTGCTAGATCTACCTTACAGAAGTAGGCACAGCGATTTCTTTTTTTGCTTCATCTTCTTCTCTGGTGACTTTTTGTTGATTTGTCGCACCAAGTCATAGAAGATCTGCAACAAAAATAGGATTCAGTTAGTCGATGAGTCTCATTGTGAGAGATTTTGAGTCACCGCAGGAATGGAATTTCAAAATTTCCAACAATAACAGTAAAATTCTAAAATTAAGAATAATTCAATGCTACAAGTTAAGATTGAAATCTGTTTGCTCGTTCTGCTAAAAGGAGAAGAGCTCCTGATTACAAATCGAAATTGAAATATTTCTATTTAATTTATTGTAGGAAAGGAGGCAATTTGAAGGAACAAAAAAAAATCCTTGCAACAACTCGATAAAGTTAGGTTTCGTAAGTCTCAGAGGAAAAGAATAGGAACTGGCATGTGGGCATGTATGAATGAGATTTCTCCAAAGCAATTATTTCACAAAAAGTATTTGTATTACCGCTTTACAGTTCGCAAAGTTGCTATCTACTAATGAGATAGAACTTATCTCCACTTTAGCTGTGATAGTACAAACAATTAGCTGTTTCGACGAAAAAACAATTTTATTCCTATTGAGCCAAAATTAGTAAGCCTAATATTGCTGACAGAAGTGTAAAATGAAAATACTTCAGGCGTGTCTACGTGTGGAAGTTTGGCGAAAAATGGAATTCTCTATCCAAGTTGGTACAGATAGATGTAAATAAAAATTTATTTAAACTAATCTATAAAAATTTAATTAATCCCTTGTCTACGATCTTTCGCATCTTCAGTTTCATTTTCTCCTTATCATCTGATCACGCTTTTACGCTTTTAGATAATAAATAGAACCATACACACACAACACGCATAATACAGTCTGTATTCGGGAAAGAATTAAAAGCGCCGTACCTTCAATTATACAAGTGAATTGCAGTTCCCGACCAACGAAATAACGAAAGTAATCAAACGCAGCAAAAGAGATGAATTCTCAGGGGAGGAGAAGTTATTCAGAAGTGAACTGAAGTACAGTTCATCGTGAAATCTTTAGAAATCTGTCTCAACAGTGTTTTCAAGGGGAGACGAATGGAGAGACATATCCGTCGAGAAAAATAATCATTGTTATCGCTAAATATCTGCGTTTCACATTGTAAAATAATTTTCAAACAAGTGCACAGGATGCAGTAGAATAAAATCTCAGTAAAACGCTTTTAAGAGTTTTCACACAGAGGGAAAGTGTGATTTCTTAAAGATGAAATTAGATTACATTTCTTAAAGATGAAACTACAATCGAGGATGCAATATCGCGTTAACGCAAGTTTGCAATTTTCTTCCTATAGTTTATATTAATAAATTCCATCTGTTTGGCGTTGTGGCTGTGAAAAGATATTCCAAGGGGATTTGTTTAGTATCCGTTTTACCGCTACTTCTTCTTTCATTTATTCTTTTCAAGTTGTGAAAATCATTTTTCTTTCTGATCTGTGCTTGACTTTTATATTAATAAATATAAGAGGCTATTACTATTCTGATATATTCTCCTACTGTTAGAAGCGATTCGGTGAAATCACAAATTAAGGCGTTGATCATATCGATTAATTTATACAATCACAATTAGGATTACCAGTCTGAGGAAGACTTAAAATGGGAATTTCTTAAATTTCCATTCGTTAAAATTACATTATAATATCTAATTATATATATTTTATTTACCATCCCATAATAATTATTGCATTCAATTAATTACTTAAAAAATTAATCTACAGCTGCAAAGGAAGAACAGCTCTGAACTGACGACAGTTTTGGCAAGTCTCCAATGCCTTATCAGTATTTCAGGCTTGATTAATCTTATGGCTTCGCTCTATCGTTCACGTTCCTCAGAATATCGTTAAAGCACCATTTGCCTATTATTTCACTGCTTGGTCTATAATGGGATGAATTAGGATGATGGAAACATCAAGATGTTCGAACGATTCCTGCTATCTTTATTCTTCTTCTGGTCTATTCGAAGGATGATCGTGAACTGCAAGTCACACCATACAAATTGTGGTGAACAGCGACGTGCGAATCATACTCCCACACCTAGGAGATTACGTTCCCACGTTCAATTAGAATATCTCAGCCTTCGTAACGGTCTTGAACTCCCACACTGGTGGTATTAATTAAAAACCAACAATAGCCTGTTCTCGATGGCAACGCTACTGTTATTTCGTAACAACGTTCCTTATTCGCTTTCCTCCAGCTACAACTTTGCACAGCTTGCACACGCACTCTCTATAGATCATTCCATATCATGATCCTCTTAGCTATAGTTCATTCGAATCTGCAAGTTTCATCTACTATCAAGTTTCATGCCATATGGGTGAAATGTATTTGATATGAATAAGGACTGAATCTTTCAAGTTTCTCATAAATTCTTCTCTAACTGAATATTTTTAGTCTAATTTTGTTTACTAGAAATCGGATCTAATCCCTTGCCTTACAATATCCAATTTCATATTTACAGCATGGATTAAGGGAAGATATAAAAATAAAAAGGAAAGCCAGTTCACGTTTGCATCGAAGTCCAATTTTACCTGCAACTATAGTCTCTCTCTCTCTTGTTACAAGGCTGGGCAAGCAAAATTGGAATAGTGTTGAAATTGGAAGCTTCTAAATATCTATGGCAATAACAGAAACAGATATCAAAGACTCATTAGACTACTGATAGTTGCACCTCTCTGGGCAAAGTACCTCAGGAAATTACAAGCGATTATTCCTCCTACATAATCTTCATGCTACTCTCATCCAATCCTCTTTCTCTCAAGAACCAATGGACACTTGGAGAACCAAAGCTAACAATTAAAAAGGAGGATATTTATGCAAATTCATATTTATACATATCATACGCATTGTGTGCATTTCTCGACCTCTACATTTCTCATAAAAATGGATAAAAATCCACAGATAGATAACACCTATCTATGGCTTACAAGAGGCTGGGAAAAGAGGCTGGTGTGCAGAGGATGGCCTCTGCAAAACCTACTACTCACATCGTTAACATTAATTTTGGCTTTGGCAGAGGTCTCCATGAACGCGCAGTTAAATTGTCGGGCAAGGTTGACGCCCTGGTCTTTGCCCACTACCCTTTCGTCCTCCAAGTCACACTTGTTGCCCACCAGCACCATCGGCACGTCATCTGTGTCCTTCACCCGCAGGATTTGCTCCCTGAGGTCCTGCAGGTCGTTGAACGTCGACTGTGCCGTTATCGAGTACACTAACACGAATCCTTGGCCGTTTTTCATGTAAAGGTCCCTCATGGCTGTGAATTGTTCCTGTCGAAAGAAGAGAACTCTGTCAATTTATGGCTCCTTTGTCCCACGAGGAAACGTCTGGCTCCGATTTGGATGGAGTATCTCTTTTTAGTTGCGGTGACTCGAGTTTAGGGGTAAAAGTCACCATTCAGAAATTGGTTACCTTAAAAGGTAACTCGGAAACGGTTTTACAGATGGGAAAAATTTCAACGGCGAAAATAGAGATATAAAAAACATATATATATATATATATATATTGTATAATATATATTGAATAATAAAATCGACAAATATTGAAACATAAAATTTTCCAGGGAAATTCACTTGGCGTTAGCATAGCTTTAGCGTTTCTTATGGGATTAGTAGCAAGTTATAGGATACATATGGTACCATTGCAACATTCCTTTTGAGAGAGATACACATTTTACTTGCTTTGATTCTGTGTATTATATTATGATACTACTATTTATTATACCTACTTATGACATTATTATAATGATAGATAAATTATGAAACTTAAATTTCGTTTACAACTCGTCTCAGACTATGGCAAACATATTTTTCTATCATTGTTCTTAGTATTATCAATAAACATTTACTTCAAGTCTATGAATTCAATGTAATATAAATGTAATAATAATTTGCCACAGTACAATGTTGTGTATACAAAACTTAATATCAAATATAAAAGAATTACTAAAAAAAAAAAAAAAAAACCCCTTTAAA